TTTGTGTTTCTTCACAATACTTTTGTGTTCCCACACAACACTTTTGTGTTTATACACAATACTTTTGTGTTTCTTCACAATACTTTTGTGTTTATACACAATACTTTTGTGTTTCTTCACAATACTTTTGCATTCCCACACAATACTTTTGTGTTTATATACAATACTTTTGAGTTCCTACACAATACTTTTGTGTTTCTACACAATACCTTTGCATTCCCACACAATACTTTTGTGTTTCTACACAATACTTTTGTGTTCCCACACAATATTTTTACATTTCCTCACAGAATTGTCAAGTCAGAATAACCTTTGTGACGTTGTTGCACTGTGTTCTTTTTGAATGTCACCCAAAGTTTTGACACGAGAGCTACTTTGTAAACAGACTGATTAATTTATGTTTAAAGCTGCTTTCATAATAAAACTCCATGAACCTCAAACACGGGTGTTGTGTCTGTTCCGTTGTTGCTGTTGTTTAGTTCGGCAGCTATGCCACTGTTAAAAGTAACACAAAAGAAACTAGAAGCACTCGGAGAGCGCAAACCTCCGCCAAGACCAATTTCCCCCATCCTGTAACAGAGTTACAAAGGGGCACACCAATACTACAGTGCCACCTGCTGGACACTTTGAAACCCATGCCCTGTGAAAGCATCACAGCTTTGCCGATGTCAGAGTGATAAAAGAAAAAAATTCCTGTATCCGCATCGTGATCTGGAACATCACCAAAATTTAAAGGTGTGTTACTTGAGCCAGTACCCACATGTGGTAAAAATGTCGTGACAATCCGTCCACAAGTTTTTGAGTAATGTTGTCCACAGACAGACGGACAGATAGACGTGACCGAAAACTTTAAGTTCCCCGATGTCCTCAGGGCAACAAAAACAAAAATAACCAAGGAAAGTTTTTTTTTACATGTGACTGGTAGCCAATAAAAAGTTACTTAGAAGCAACAGATCCAACAGAGTAGAGATTCAAAGATCCTGCCTTTCATTGTTAGTTTTTTGGTCTGGATACGTTTCAGCAGCAGTTTAAAGTTCCTACCTTAGAGTATTTCACTTGACAGGGACACTTTAGTTGAGAGAAGGATAAATGGACGGTCCATTCAACCAACAGACGATCCGAGGAGGGGGTCACAGTCACCACCGGGGGCGCAATTTTTACTGAGGAATAAAATCAGCGAGGCGATTACAACTCAAGGAGGTGATTAGAGGATTTTTTTGTTGAAAATTGATGTTACTTACTTATGTCTTCAGTGGCAAACATGTAAGGATCAGAGTCCGTCTCCCAAGCAGAAGTTTTAGCTCTGACAGTAACAAAATAATCATCAATGAGGTTAAAAATCTGTCCAGTTGTGCAGTTTGTGACTTGGGAGCTGCAAATTTCTCTAAGGTTTTCAGAAGTGGTGCTGAAAGAAATACATGATGTTTCTGTAAATATTTAAAGAAACAAAATGATCATATTGATAACTCAAAATATAAAAAAAATTCAAAATACCCCATAAATACGGTGTATTTTATTTTGAGTGAAGGACTTGTCTGATGATCCCATCTGCATGTGAAGCTATCAGGGACACCGGATGATTGGGTTTTATAATACAAAACACACGATACGTTTTTAGGCCGTGCTGTAAAGAAAGAAAACACACAAATGTTACCTCATTGCCACAATAACCAACAATGTGAATTATATAAAAAAAGACATCTTACTGAAGGTTTTGATGATGGTGCCGCCAAGTGCTTGATGATTCAGTGAACTGTAACACTGCAGTGTTGCCTTCGTGTTGGTGAAGTTTCTCAAAGACAAAACGTGCGTGGAGTTAAAACTGTGCGTCAGATTTTCGCTGACGGGTTTGTCGTTCAGAGTCCAAAAGATGTTGCCGCTCACACACGAAGACTGGCACACTATCTGGACGCTGGCGCCCACTTCGATGTACACATCTTTGGGTTCGACATTGCAGATGTCACGCAGGCCTGCGGGGAAATTCAAAGGTTTTCTTTAAAAGGTGTTTCCTCAGGGAAAGGGGGAAGTAAACGTATATGAACCTTGGTTTTATTTTGAAAATCCATCTTCTAGTTGGACACGCTCAATCAGAACAGCTCTCTACAGGAGACGTCCTGGTGGCATCCCTATCCGATACCTGAACCACCTCGATCGTCTCCTCTCCACGAGGAGGAGCAGAGACTGAACTTCTCACCCTCATAAGGAAGAGAGTGATTTTGATTTTCCCTTTAATACAAAAGTTTTCTAAATTCTGCTTTCTGTGAAATATTACAGAACATCCAGGCTTTACACAGAGCAGTGATGACATCCTCTTCCTCTTCTACTCTGTTCCTCAGCTAAAAAAAGACATCAACGGTTGCTGCATTTCTGTGTATTTACACACTCTTGTGTTGTTTGGGTTGATTACTATTTTGTTTCCTCAAGTCCCCCCACCCAAAAAAAAAAAAGAAAAAAAAATCCTACATTCACGAGTTTCTTTGAGACAATAAATTTTTGACGCTTTTGTCTTCCTCAGAGCTCCTCGCCGTCTGTTGCTGCTGCCTCCGCAGTGCTTCTGTTGGGTTCGGCACGTTTTACAGGAAGACATTTCTCTAATAGTGCTGAGCTGATAATGAGATCTGAACAGAATGAGCCTTTTAGCGCCCACATCCTACATCTGCAGAACCAGAATTGCTCAAAGCATCCAATTTATCACTAAACTATCACTGAATGCTGTTTGAACTTTAGATGACAAAGTCAGGAAAACAGTTTATTGCAGTCGTTTTTATCATTGCACTGTTCAACTATAACATTGCACATTAAAAGTTTTTTTGTATTTTTGTATAGTTGCGTATTGTATTTGCTTATAGTGAAGATATCATAAGATTTCTTGTTATTTTGTTCATTTTTTCATTTTCTCAAATCTAAGTTTAAGCTCAAAAAGAAAAAAATAGTATAGGTCTTCTGGACGGGTTCTTCTCTAATGAAACGTTTCGTCTCTCCTCCAAGAGACTTCTTCAGTCTGAGAG